TTTCCGTGTATCATTTTGCAGCACAAGTATCACGTGAGGAACACTCGCGCGTACTCAGATTTGAAAGAACACAATGAATTTATTTGCGTGCTACTCTGCTCCTATTAATAAAATCGCCTTGCTCCTGCTAACTAGTGTGACTCTAAACAATGGGCGGCAGCCCACGCGCACCTGCCTAAGAGTAGCTGGCTCGATGGTTTTCTACTCAGCCTAAAATGCTGGTAGAGCGCTATACAGTGCGTAACAAAAGTATGTGGACACCTCAAATTTTTGTCCTGCAAAATTGCCTTTGAATTTTGCGATATGAGACCTTATTGTTGAATTCCTCATAAGCGAAAACATAGGAATACACTACTTCTGAGCACTTTGTGAACTACTGTACAATTATTTATTGTTTTGAAAAAGTTTCTTAATAACAAAAGTATGTGGACACCTGAGGAAGTCCAAAGTTTGGCTCCAGATCTGCAATCCATTTTTATGGTCTCTAGTCCCCATTAACCTGTACTCATGCCTCGTCGTGGTAGTCCTCTCTACGAAGACGAACAAGCTCGGATTCGAGCTTTCAGTGCTGCAGGACACTCGAATAGAGAAATTGCAAGATAGCTTGGACTTTCGGCGACGTGCGTTGGTATATACCTCCAGAATCCTGATGGCTACCACTCAGTGCCTGTCTCGAGGCACCCACGCTCTTTGTCCGCAAAAGACATCAGAAGAATGGCCTCAAACTCCCCGCTTTCTGTGGCACAGATCCATGCCGCGATGAATCTACCGGTCTCAAAAATGACAATATGGCGCTCTATTCGATCAAGTGAGCACATCACTCGAGAGACCATGAAGAAAGCTCCCTGTCTGACTGCCAAGCACCAGCTGGCAAGACTGAACTTTGCGCGTGCAAACATGGCGACGTCGTGGGACAAGGTGCAGTTTCTTGAGATATTTGTAAAATCAGAAAGGCAACATCTTATGCGCATTTCTTTCTTAGGTTATCTTCACTGATAAGAAGAAGTCAATCTCGACGGTCCAGATGGATATCAGCATTACTGGAAAGACCTTTGTAGCGATCCGTTGGTGTTCTCGAGACGAAATTTCGGAGGCGCCTCTTTGATGGTACGGGGTGGTTTTGGAAGCAGAGGAAAGTTGGAGCTTGCCTTCCCATCGTGCTGTATGAACAGTCAGGAATACCAAGGAGTGCTTGAGTCTAACCTCTTGCCTTTTCTGAGCGGGCCACGACGCAGGACATGTGATGCAGCAGGACAACGCCGCCGTGCATGTTTCAAATTCTACTAGAAAATGGCTCCAACGCAATGGTATCAAAGTGATTGATTGGCCGGCGTGTTCTCCTGACTGCAACCCAACCGAAATCCTGTGGGGGATCATGGTTCGACGAATCTACATGAACAGTCGGCAGTACAACAGCGTGTTGAGGAGGCGGTAGTTGCTGCATGGGAGGAAATCGACGAAGACACCATGACAAATCTTGTCCACAGCATGCC